AGCTAGGGTGCTCCGGTCGAGCGTTTTTTTTTTTTGTAGAATAGACTGTAATTTCCGGTTCTCCGTGATTTCCAACTTTTGTCACGTACCAAATAAGTCACATTGCGATTCTGTCTTGGAGCGGAACTGCTTCACAAAATAATCGTATCTATCGATTCCGGCCTCTGTGAAGGAACCACTTTGCTGCCGTGAGTAAAAATACCAGAGTTTATGCCACTTTTCAATTCAGTTGTTCATTTTTACTGGCCTATTGCACCTTCTCTCTCACTCTTGTTCACTCTTGTTTCTCCTTCTTTCTCCCTGTTGGTAGACTCACCAAAGTGGCCACTGAGAGCTTCCGTCCTGACGAACTACCTGCGTGTCAACTGCCCAGTTCTCAGCAGGCCACGCACTCTATTCACCATCTGGTACTTGACGGCAGTGGTTGCATTCCACCGCTTTCAGGTCTCTACTCACAGTCAACCATTCTGCATCATTTCTTCGATCGCGACGTCTACCCACTTTTGTACGACTGTCGATTACCTCACCGTCTTCAGGTGAGCATAAATTTGGCACTTTTATATTTGTTTTACCTGCCAAGACACCCAATCATTACTGTTTTCTATCCTAATAGATATTCCTATCTTCCACTTGGTAGACTGTCACAACGTTGCTGGAACTTCTCACTAGTTGCTTCAGTCCCTAATTACCGTACTGGTCTTGGAATGAATGTTGTCGTAGCTGCACTTCATTCTTGATACACTCGTGATCTGCATACGTTTAGTTGGGACTTAAGCTACGCACTGTTTCAACATCCTGTAGAAGGAACGCCATGATTGACACATTTCGATCGCTCTCGAGCGTTGTCACGTGACGGACACTAGCAAAAAAAGTTGGTCACATGCCCGTTTGAGGTGCCCTTGGTATGACTCACTTCCAGAGACAACCCACTGTCATATCACACTATCAGTTATTCTGCTTGGCAGAGCAGAGAAGAGGACTATTCAAACTTTATATGGACGTCACGTTGAAGTACAGAAGTCTAAGAGGCTTATCCATTCATTCCACGGAACGCAAATCTTATCCTGGATGGGGTTAGCCTATATCCCAGCTGCTACCTGACGCTACCAGCCGGTTCCATACGATGCCATCGGAATATTGGAAACGAATATCTCGGAAACCGCTAAACAACTGTGAATGCTAGATTTTTCTGTCTTTCTTGTTCTGTTTTCAATGTCCCCAGGTTGTTCACTATTCTCTCCCTTTGGAATCAGGGAATTCTAGCTAGCCACATCTGCCGAACGACTCATTTGATGAGAAATAAACTGGTACAAAACGAAAGTAAGTCTGCTAGTGATGCTAGGAGCATCACCAGATATGGAAGGACTCGTCAAACAGTCGTTTACTCCGATATTTACGTTAACACTGGTTTAATAGTATCACAATCAAATCGTAGGACAAACATTGCAAGCAACCGGCAAATTTCAACTCTCTATTCCCACTGAGTTTCTTACTGCCTTATTCTGTTTATCTCGTTATGCTATATGCAAATGCTTCAGGTTTTCCGGACTCCGTTCTATTTTTGTCGTCTCACAACAGGAAATTCATAGTGCGATGTCCCAGACACCTGATCCTAACGCCTCCGTTGTATATGGACAACCACGGCTACAGTACAGAATACGCCCGTGGGCTGGATTTACAAAGTAAGTTTCCTCCGCCTCTCCGATCATTTGTGGCCGAGTCTCAATGCTCCCGCACAATATCTCTCATTGGATTTCGGTACCTCGATGTTCCTTTCGTGCCCAGATTCCATGAAAATGGGCGGTTTACAAGAATTGTACTGTATTGTCTGATCTGTTCAATCGCCTCGGGAAGCACTTGTTTCAGTTCTCAGCTTCATATGCATTCAGCGTTTGCGATTGCACTGTTAAGCCGTGCGTAGTGTTTGGGCATGGTTCGCCCTTAAGAATGGAGTCCAGCTGACCCTCCCTGTGACACTAAATGACATGGCAGCTAACTGATGCCAGTGGTATTTTTGATGTCAGTTTCTATCCACATTGTCTTACTGTGTGTTGGAGATGTAGGCACCTCTAGGTCTCTCTCATTGCCCTACTATTTCTTTCCCACATCACAGGGCTTATCTGGTTACCCGGCAGTGTTCTCATCTATTGTTGCTATCGACAGTGATGCATGGTCTCAGACTGCGCTGTTCGTTATTTACACAAGGCCACTTGTATTTGTCGTTCAGAATACCGATGATGATCGTTTACTTATCTCTCACCTAACCATGTCGCCAACATGATTCCTACACGGGCTCCAAAACTGTCTTTTTGAGCACCGAAATCCGTCCAACTGAGGGACCACTCTTTGTGCGTGAAATCACCGTAAGGGCGTCGTTTTTTATCTTTCTACATTAACGTTCTGCAGATGGGTTTGAAATGTTTACCCTGGGTAATCATATAGGTATTGGTATCCAACTCAAGAAGATTTGTGATCGTTCGATAAAAGAGTACACAATAGCTGTCGCATTGCAAGAATTATATCGACCGTTTTCCACAGTTGCACAGACTGTGCTCGTTGTATTCATCAGTCTTGTCAACGTTCCTGTTCTGTCCGATTCGTGCTGAAAGTTCCCCGTCCGGCATATACTCAGCTATATACAATTTAGAAACCGTCCTGCCTGAAATGAAAGGCATCCTATCTGCTGGTTTGTGAACAAGCGTTAGGTCAGTGAACGTCCTATTCTTTGCTAGTTTGATTGGGACCCATAAAGATCGTTTGATATGACTTTGAGGGTGACATTCCTTGTTTTCTGTCACTTGTCACAGTCTTCCGTATGAAACTCTGGATTCGGAGCGTTTATTGGATGAGACCTTTGATCCTCTCTACGTCACTCGTGAAGAAGCTGAAATACGGTTTTCCGAGATGCTGAATTCAATTCCCGTGGACCTGCTACCCAAAGAGCGACATTCATCCACCAATCATGGATCTGGCGGTGACGCACCAGGTATGTATGTATCTTTTATTTCCTTTTCTGTGAATCTGTTCGTACCCGTGGACTCATTCTGTGGCCAAACCACCCCTACTCTGCGTGCCAGTCAACGGAGATATTTGACGCTACTTACCCATTTTGAGTAGTTAGCGTTTGACCAATTTCTCTGGGACTAATCCGCCGGTAGCAGAGTACTTCGCGGAGTGGATGTTCGTCTTCCGCTCTCACTATATTTACTAACTGAAAAGCTTAATTAAATGCCCGTTTCGAACCTAAATAATTGCTCCCTTGTTCTTCTCACACTTTCAAACCATTTCTCCTTTATCTTAGCCCTTCCACACACTGCAATGACAGTGGATCCCCTACATACGACTGAATGCGCGCAGCAGACTAGGTAGCAGAATCCTGGTGAGCTAGGAAAAAGTGAAAATTATGCGCCCGCCAGCCTATGGACTACCGCTTACCATGTATTCACCTCTGTATCCGTTGATATCCCCTAGCCCTTTGGATTTATTGATGAGCTAAGTGATCCGCTTACCCTAGTTTTTCTATTTTGTTATTTAATCCCCTACCGTTATATCCTCATAGTGAGGCACTTCCTTAGAAAGGTCATTCCCTTAGAAAACCTACATCAACCTTCCTTATCTGGCGCGGCGTAGCCTGCGATCCCATGGACGGGGGACAATCCCCCGCTTGAAGTGAATATCCTCTTGTTATTTGTGGTCCGTCTTGGGNTATTCTTTGCTAGTTTGATTGGGACCCATAAAGATCGTTTGATATGACTTTGAGGGTGACATTTCTTGTTTTCTGTCACTTGCCACAGTCTTCCGTATGAAACTCTGGATTCGGAGCGTTTATTGAATGAGACCTTTGATCCTCTCTACGTCACTCGTGAAGAAGCTGAAATACGGTTTTCCGAGATGCTGAATTCAATTCCCGTGGACCTGCTACCCAAAGAGCGACATTCATCCACTAATCATGGATCTGGCGGTGACGCACCAGGTATGTATGTATCTTTTATTCCCTTTTCTGTCTAGCTGTTCGTACCCGTGGACTCACTCTGGGGTGAAACCGCCCCCACTCTGCGTGACAGTCAGCGGAGATATTTGACGCTACTTACCAATTTTGAGTAGTTTGCGTTTGACCAATTTCTCTGGAACTAATCCGCTAGTAGCAGAGCACTTCGCGGAGTGGATGTTTGTCTTCCGCTCTCGATAAATTGACTAACTGACTTGATATAAAAGCTCAATTAGTTGCCCGTTTCGAACCTAAATAATTGCTGCCTTGTTTTCACGCTTTCACACTATTTCCCGTTTATCTTGGCCATTCCACACCACTAAGCCCTTGGATCAACGGCACAATCACAGTAATGTACACTGTAATGATGGTTGCTTCCCTTGATACGACTGAATGCACGCGGCAAATTGAGTAGCAGAATCCTGGTGAGCTAGTAAAAAATAAGAATTCTGCCCCCGCCAGCCGGGCGCAGAGCGTAGTTCGGGAGGCCGAATGCGAAGTTTGCGATTCACCCACCTTGATGTGTGTCGAGAACACATATCTGTTTTTTTGGCTCGACAGAATCACAGAATTCTCTCAGCACGTGGATATTGGAAAGTGTACGTTCCAGAGTGATTTGAGTTGACTATCTTATGTACAACGGGCAGATTGGCTTGTGTGCAGTTTACTGGTGAACCCTATACCTCCACAACCCTTATGATTAGAGTATTTACTCGGGTGTACAGTTGAACTATCTGTGGCGTGCCCAGCCAGCTTATTCAGATCAATACCAAATCTCCAGTATCCGGTAATGTCTGGTGTGTGTGTGTG